GATTTATATAATATATATTAATATATGTGTGTGTGGTGTGTGTGTGTAGTGTGTGTAGTATGTTAGTTGTGTGTGTTGTATGTGGTGATTGTGGTACACAAGACATAGTGTATACAATACTAACTACACTACAACACACACACTCAACACTCGCACATAGCATCACACTAATCACACCATCACATCTAACTATACACTACTCAAGCACTAACTATGGACTATATTAATTATATATAAGTAATATATATATATATTATTAATATTAATATTATATATTAATATATAATATGTATATAGTATATGATATTAATATATTATATATTTTATGATAATATATACTATATATATATATATAATTAATATATATATATAGTATATATGTATTAGTATATTAATATATAATATATATATATATATTTAAATAATATATATATAATTAATATATATATATAATATGTATTAATATATATATATATATAATACATATATATATACTCACAATATATACATCAACACACACACACACACACACCGCATAGTATTGTAGGGTGTGTTAACCTGCAAGTGGCATACGCGAATTAAATCAAGCTTTTATCCTTTCTATGCTCCTGAAATGCGTAGTCACAGGAAGGTCACAAACTCACATCAGTAGTAAGTAATAAGCGAAGGGAAAAAAATTAAATTATCTACACCACATCACTCACGCAACACAGCATAACTCATCACAAACAAACGCACCACATATATATAATATATACGTCATACTGTAGCAATATCTATATAGTTATAGTACAGTATAATTTAAAGCAGAACCAATCTCGAACTTAAATAGATATCAATGTTGTAATATATATAACGTAATATGTTTTTTTTTTTTTTTTTTTTTTCGTCGGAGATAAATATTTGTTCTCCTAACTGATAACTATCACTGGTTGGTCTTACTTAGTGAAGATGGATAAAAATTCTACTCAATTTCTTACTATAAATTGAATAGAATAATTTGGATGAGTTGGACCTTTTATTGAGCCTATTGTACCCGTTGTGTGTGTGTTAGTGTGATGTGTTATGAGTGTGTGTGGTGCTGTGTGTATGTTTGTGCGTGTGGTTAGTGTTGTGTGTGTGTTGTGTCATATATAAGCGTGTCAGTGTTGGCTGATAAATATATATTTTTAAGCGTTTGTGTGTATTGATTTGGGTATTCCTCCTGCTGTTTTTGTGCTCAGATATTATCTTTTAGTCATGATATATATATATTTAATATATATTATATAATATAAAATATATTTATATATATATATATATATATATAATGTATTTATAAAATATAGTATATATTATATATTATATATATATATAGTGTTATAATGTTGTGTGTGTGTTGGTGTGTGTTGTGGTGTGTGTGTGTTTTGTGTGTGGTGGTGTGTTGAGTATGGTGTTGTGTATGCGAGTTGCTCGTATTATTGTTCGTTAGCATATATCTGCTGGGTGGATAAGTCATATATATAATTTTCATCAGACGTAAATATATTATTGTAGCTACATGTGCACGTAGTTTAAATTTATGACTACATGTACTGATAGTATTCCGATATGCGTACCTGTGTGACTTCCACAATAACATTCTAAAGTCTCACCAATCTCTATCACGGTACCGTCGGATCTCGAAGAAAAAAGAATCAACCTGAATATGCTTGATAAATAAATTCTACACAGCGGTAAAGCGTAGAAAAGAAAAGCATTTAAAAATATAAAGCAATAAAATATATATATGTGTATTATATTAAAGAAAACGCAGTTATTTATGATAATCTTAGTGCAGCGAGGAGTGCAATAATAGCTTGCGTGCGGTAACTTATGTAGCCTATCAGCGATTTTTCAATTACATATATATCCTTTTTTTTCATCTATTTTTCATCTTTATTTCCGACTGATCTGAGAACCGCCGGGAAGACAACGCAAGCAGTGTTGATAAACTACTACACCACACACACGCGACCTCTAGAACACACAGACACAACAACCCATACACAAACCAGCCACAATTACTCTGTGGGCGTGTTTGGCTAAATTAAGATAGCAATATACCTACAACGTCCTCCGGACGGGATTAACAAGCTGGTTCTCCAATCACCATCACACCATCCCTCGATTAGCTTCACAGCACAACACGACCATGTCTATCATCAGACGACACAAACACTCACGCTTCCTCAGCAGCAGCGGTTGTGTCATGGAAGCAGCGGCAGCAGGCCCTGAGCAGCGCCGCTAATACACAACTCACAGACAGGGCAATGGCTGCTGCCAGCACAGCGCATGGAAAACCAGCCACGCTCCTGAAATTATAACTCACCTACAGCTATACGGGAAAGTGATGATCAGATATCAGAGTCACAAGCTGCATTGTGTTGTCGCGTGGTAGCTGTGTGGTCGCTCGCTAGTGTGAGATGCTCGCTGGAGATATGTGGTAGTTGTGTGTGTGCGCTCGTGTGTGTGTGATTCGATCGACTCAGTTGTATGTGTGTATTATAATATGTATTGATGTAGCTGGAGTCAGTTGATGTGTGTTTATTATGTGTATATTAATATATACATATATATAATTATATGATAATATATATATTATATATATTTAATATATAATAGTATATGTTAATATATAATATATATATATATATGTATAATAATTATATATATATTATAATATATTATAGATAGAGAGAGAGATGAAGATAGAGAGAGAGAGAGAGAGAGGTAGAAAGAAATAGAATTAATATATATTATATATATATATGAGTGGAGTGGTGGTGAGTAGATGATGTATGATATGTGTGTGTTAGTGTGTTTGTGTTGTAGTGTGTGTATTTGTGTATGGTGTGTATTGTGTTTGTTGTTTTGTGTGGTATATTATAATATTAATATAATATTATATAATATATATATATATTATTATAATATATATAATAATATATGTGTGATGTTATATGTCGTTGTGTGTGTTGTTGTTGTATTTATATTATATCTATTATCGTATATTTATATTTATATAATATATATATTATATATATGCAAAAGATATATATAATCTTGCATTTAAGAACCCTGAACTAGGAGGCACTCAGCAGTAAAAGTAGAAAGAAATTAGCTAATTTCTCATGTAATGAAGGGATGATTCACCAGTTCAATGACATAATGGTTCTACAAGTTGTAGCAATGACATTTAAGAATATGATTAGCCTCAAATATCCCCTACATAGCTCCATTGGAAATAACTAGTGGAGGAGTTGCAATGAGGTTGTTCTTGTTATGGCTATGATTATTTTTGTTGTAGTTATTGTCATTATTTTCTTCATCATCATTGTTATTGTTATAATTATTATGATTATTATTATTGTGATTATTATTGTTGTTGTTGTTTTTGTTGTTGTTATTATTATTATTATTATTATTATTATTATTATTATTATTATTATTAATGTCCTTGTTATCATCATTATCTTTATCTTCATCTTCATCATTGTTATTATCATCATCATCATCATCATTATTATTATATGCTTTTAAAATTGATTATCTTATTTTTCTATCATTGTTATCATCATTGTTTTTATTAATTATCAATTATTTATTATTATTATTATTATTATTATTATTATTAATGTTGTTATTATTTATTTTTTTGTTATTACTATTATTATTATTAATATTATTATTATTATTATTATTATTATTGTTGTTGTTATTATTATTGGTTTTGTTATTATTAGAAGTATATTATTATTATTATTATTGTTATTATTATTATTATTATTATTATTATCATTATTATTACTACTACTATTTTTTTATTATTATTATGATCATCATCATACATTTATTATTATTGATTCTTATTTGCAATTATTATTATTACCATTAATTATTTATTTTTATTGTTATCATTATCATCATCAGTTTATTATTAATTGTCATTTATCATTGTTATTTTTATTATTATTGCTGTTGTTGTTGGTTATTATTAATAATGTTGGTTTGGTTGACTCCATTGTTGTTAATGGACTTATGGTAAGAGTATTGACTTCAAAACTTCATTCTAGATTTACTACAAAATTTTCATACTGTCACACTGCTATAAAAAATGGTAGTATGTGAATACAGTCACAAAGATGATCATCATTAATCTAGCAAGGTTGAGATGAAATATGTTATATGAGGCTATGTTTTCTTGTCAATGAAGCTGATGATATGAGTCTACTTTTTTATATCAGACTCAAAATATCTTTCCTTAAGGCGCAGTTAAACTGGCCTTCTCATCATCTAGGACCTGACTTGTCTCTAATTGCCCAGCCAGGCTTAGTGTTTCAACTGCGAAAAACATTGCTGTAATAGACAGCACCTGCTGCTTGCTTGAATAACACTACCCTTAGTACTTCTTGCTTGAGCAACATGGAGTACAAGGACTTATTCCTTGTTTCACCATAGTTTCATGTTTCATGGCTTATATTTTTTTGAAGAAAGAAGAACAGAAACCAATTTGATTATTCAAAATTATTAACGCTAGTCTGATTGGCCATTGGCACGAGTGTAGATCCTTAGTTTCAAACTAGCCATTTTTTGTTGATTTGTTTTTGGTAATGAAAAATGAATTTTGTGATAAGTAACTATTTTATATGAAATCTCTAATATAACTTTTGTTGACTTTATAGGTATGGATTATTTCTTTAAGCGAATTACAGACATTAATTTAAAATTCCACCCTGGAAAGCCCAGACATACCCAAAGAAAAAGACAGTCATACTATTACTGGCTCCCCTCAGCCCCCAAATTTCGCACCAAAGTGACGTAATTTGGCCTATATAGTCTCACTTACAGCCAGACCTGTGCGTACACAAGACCAGTTGAACCATGCCTTTAAAGAAAATATATAAAGGTCCTTTCTGAATTCTTACCATCATATACAAATCAGTTTTTTACTTATCTTTTTTTTTTTTCCTCTCCCTTTGTCAGCACAAGGCTAATGGGTGAGCCAGTGGTGAACCCGGGTCATTCTTCACAGCTGTGGGACCAAGAAGCTAAAAGTGTTGGCCAGACATCATCCAATCAATCTGTTACTGCCGTTGGCCACCACCACCACCACCACGCTAGTGCGACCCACTCCCCTAGTTCCTTCACCACAGTCTCACACCTCTGCCATAACCGTAAGTGGCATGGCACTGGTTGTTTGGAGTTCAACCTTAGTGCCCTCTCTCTCTCTCTCTCTCCTCTTTCTAGTTTATGTGCATGTGTATACTGAGATGTTGTTAGCTGTATATTTTGATTTGATATTGCTTTATTTTAATTGAATCTCTCTTGCAGAGGTCGTTGAGGTTGGGTGCAGCAGAGAGACTGGAACACAGCAGTGTAATTCTGAGGCAGTGAAGTTAGACCGTGGAGACTCCAGCAATACTGAGGGGGCTTTCTTCCCCAGCCTCCCTCCTCAACACCCACAGGCTATGGATGACGTTTCTCCTCCATCCGGCAGTGGAGCGTATTACAATGGTCCACAGCCCTATGTACCAGGGGATGGTTATTATGAAATACTAGGTGGTTTGGGGGGTGCCACTCCTCCCCAGTATGCCACAGCTGGTACTGGCTCAGCATTACCTGCAGGCCCACCCACTCCATCCAAAGTTGAAACAAATGCTTATGTTGACACCACTCACACGCCTTTGACTTATGGGGAAGCACCACCTGCCATGGACTTCAGTAGCAATCCTGCAGGCCTAAACTTTAGTGGTGCAACAGCAGGAACCTATGGCACTGCTTCAGATTATTCTGACAGCCAGGATTATTCTCAAGCTGCAGCCAATCCACTCAGTCTACTTAGTGATGTAGCATTAGGAGGAGATGCAAGCAGTAGCAGTGGCAGCCATAGTGGAAGTCTTGGAACTGGGAGCAGCAGCAGCAGTAGTAGCAGCAGCAGTAGCAGCAGTAGTAGTAGCAGCAGTTCAAGCTCTGGTTCTTCCTCTGGAGGTAATAGTAGTTGTGAGGGTGGAGACGG